AGTGTAATCAGTGAGGGGATTCTACAGACTGTTGAGGGTTCAGCCTCCTGATGAGTCGGTGAAACTTCGACGAAACAGTTTGTCACAGCCCCTCGTTTGTTGTCCTCTTCTCCCTCTCTGCCTACGGTTTACCGGGCAGTTTTATTTGACGATATATATATTCACTACCACTTTGTTTGCTATGTAAATTACTTTTTAATTTTATAACTATTTTTATAGGAAAAACATACTAAATGCTAGGTTGTTTTTTCGGGCGTTGTTGAAAGGGCAGGACTTGCACCACGCCCCCACGGTGTGGCTCATTCAGGATATTCGTTGGGTCTCGAGCAACACCGAGCAGACCTAGCTCGCTTGATACGCATACGAACTGCTGAAAGATGAACCCAAGTGTGAACTTCATTGGAAACAAATGTGTAATTATCTGAAAGCAGTCAGTGTAATGAGAATACTTTAAGTCGTTGCTCACCTGGAACGGTGGAACGACTTTTATAAAGGGGAAAGCCATGTGGCAAGTGTCCGCTTGCTCTCGTGAAAGTTGGTAGGAAGTTTATTTTTTAATTTGTTTTCCCTTTTTTATCTCAATCAGGGTAATCGGCGTTCGGGACGGGCCGAATGCCCGAACCCAAACGCCCGCACGTATGGGACCCCTTGGGGATGCGTTCGGCCGTTCGGGCCAAACGCAGACCCACAAAAAAAAAAAAAGTCATTAGAAAAATCTGAAAAAAACGGTATGTTATTGAGAAAAATAAATTTAATAAGATTTGCCTGAACATTACATCCGAATTCCTTACCAAATTTTAAATAAAAATAAAATACGGAAAATAAATACTAATAATAAAAATAAATAAAAATAAAAAGAGAATTAAATTTAGTAAGTGAGCGAGCATGTTTTTGACACCGCCATCTTTGGCGATTTTTTTTTTTTTTTTTGGCATAGCTAAATGCCCTGAAAATTTACAGATGTGTACTTCACATAATACAAAACCCACTAAAAAGGTTTAAAAAATAATAAAGTTGTTTAGACCCCGAACTAAAGTGAAAACGAAAAGTAAAAAGTGAAAAAATACATGGGCGAGCACATTTTGACACTGCCATCTTTGGCAATTTTTAATTCTTATTTGGCTTAGTCAAATGACTTGGAAAATTTACAGGCATGTACCTCACGTCATAGAGAACTCACAAAAAACAATTCAGAAAAAAATAATTATTTT